TACGCTATGGCGGTTGGAATGGAGCCTTTCAAGAAGTCACAATGGGAGGGTGCCGTGTCGATGGTATATGCGGCGGCCGCCACGAAGGAATCCGGCCAATACATATGCCCTCCAGCGATTCCTGAGCCGGGCAGTAAGCTTGCTCAGGACGACGCTCTGGCTGATCAACTGATGGAGTTGACCCGTCAAATCATCACTGAGAAGACTAAGACGTCCTCGGTGGATAAGGGATGTCCCATGGATGACTTGGTTCTACACTAAGTTCTAACTCGTATCGCTTCAGATACTGAGATCGCCCTCTAATGGTTAGATGTGAAGGGGAATAATTATTAATCTAATTATTGAAAATATAGCGCCCGCTATCGATGGAATAAAGATCCTTCCCTCCTCCTCTGGTTTACATCGCCCTCCAATCCAAATCCGCACCTAATCTCGTTCGGCGACCAGAGCATGCTATCTCTTGCGCGGGGGTATCTTCCTCCATCCGGACCCATTCCATCTCCAACATTCTGACCCATCACGCCGTATCCCAGCTTCAGCTTCTTCACGTCCTTGGGTACATCGCCTCTGTCTCTATCGGGACCTTCCCAATTGACCTTCTCCAACGCTGGGCCTCTCGTCGCCGCCACCACGCTGGAGAACCGCGTGTTCCTCAATACACCTCCATTCTCATTTACCGCGAACCCACCAGCAATCACGCCCATTATAGCTAGAAATATGGCGATGGAGTACACGATCCACAGGTCACGTTCATGGTAGCTGTACATGTTGGCCATGCGCGACTTCTGGCAGGGGAAACGATATGCTGAATGATTCCCGTCAACGCCGCCCTCACGCAGCCCGCCCGAAACCTCATCCGGATGAGCAGCCCATACGACGGGAAGGAACTGCGGGGTCGAAAAGATGGAGAGGATGAGGTCTTCGTAGAATTCCTGCACCATATCCTGCAGATCAAAGACGGGAAAGTAGTTGTTGCGCGGGTCGAGGAGCTTCGTCTGGATAGCTTCCGTGTTAGCCATCGGATTCGCGGATTGCTTGTCAATCTGCACAGTGCCGTTCAGGAACTTGCGGAGCATAAAGCCCAGGGAATGGTACGCGGCGATGCGGCGGTATCTTTCAACATCTTGAGGGACGACGTAGTTTTCTTTCGGGGTCGCAGTGATGTTGTCTGCTGTGCCATCGTTCGCGTCGAGGCCGGGGATGTAGGTTGTATTGATGACAGGTATGGTGAAGTTGTGTTTCTTCATGTATGCTGACTGTGTAGTGTCGGTGTAGTTGAAGACGGCAGTGTACTCCGTTACATAGTGCTCGCATGCAAATATCTTGGGGACGTATTGCATTAGGTCATCCTCTTCCTTTGATGAAGCCGGATGGTCCGCGTCGGGCGGAACTACGTGACCAATCCAGATGACCGGCTCAGTGCGAAGAGCTCCCATGTGCTCAGGATATGGCGGCTTCATCTTTGGAATACCCCCAATCTCAACGTCCTTCATCTGCGTGGTGGAGTATTCTCCTCCGCTCGTGAAGGCGTAGTACGCGTACGTTCCTTCAGGAATGAGAATATCCGTTCCAAACGGCGGGGGAGCCTGCCCAGACTCTTGCGTAAGGTTCGTGGGTGTCGAGCCGATTCCCCTGGCCTGTTCGCTACACTTATACCCCGGGGCTGTGAAGTCTATCTCGAAAGTACAGTTCCAGCCCTTGCTGCACACCTCCGTTGAGGCGTTTTTACGCGCGACAACTTCCTGCAGGAAAGCTCCGAGAGTCGCGGTCTGCTGAAAGTTGGGACTTGGCCCGGTGTAGTAGTCAAACCAGCCCTCCGGCTCAGAGTCCGCCGGCTTGGTGGAGTTCCAGATGGACAACGGCATCTCATAACGGCCGTCGATCTTGATGGGCTTTCGCCAGTCGTGAGTGTCCTCCCTTGCAAAATTCAGACTGCGGACAGCCGGGCAGGTAGTGTTTTGCAGAATGGTCTTGGGCTCAACAAGCAAAGTGTTGGCTGTGAGAATGACCACCAAGGGAGAAAGCCTATGACCTGTGTGAGCAGATTTCCTTCATAATTTCTCATCAACTTGGATTTTTGACTGCTTACCAGACGAACAGGGCCAAAGCAGCCGCCACCTTGGCACCCTTGAGAAACTCTAAGTTCACAAAAGCAATAACGTTCTCCGTAGCAGCGAACATGGAATCCAGCGCGGCAATACTCATAAACCTCGATCTCACAGTCGTCCAGATCCGCTGCTGGAATGCCGATATCACGGCGGCACCCAAACTCGCCTTGGCAGCGAAAGCCAGGATCGTGCCGTACCTAAGCATGCGCACCTGGTCGTCCGCGGGTTGGCCGTCCAGGGTGTGATAGTAGACATGGTGGCCGATGGCGCAGCCGATGCCGAGCAATAGCCACAGGTACATGTTCCATGATGAGTGCCAGTTGCAGTGGGGTCGTTTCATTCGAAATGGCTTGTTCCTGTCATTTGGCGGGCCTAGATAGTTCTCGGGGACGTAAGGCGGCGGTTTTGGAGGCTCGTGATCGTGATCATGCTCGTACTGCTGCTGTGCACCGGCAGGAGGTGAGCGATGCCCATCGTAGACAGATTCTTGCGCATTCTGCAGCAGGCCGGCACGGGCATCATGGCGCTGGTCTCCGCCGCCTCCGCTGCCGTGGTGGTGAAGCGCATCCGCTTCTCTTGGAGAATCATCAGGCGACTCCCGGCCGTGGAACGTGGGATCAGCGCCGTAATGCGCCGATCCGCTAAGCGAACTCAGGTCGATGCCATGCGTGTCCATCGGGCCGCGGGTGGTCGTCTTCTGTGCCGTGGTGTCGTCCTCGGGCGTCGTCTCCGTGACATGGACGGATGGGCCGAACTTGTTCGGTGCGAATAATGATGTGAGCGGCACGGGTTTGCGAGGGATGGAGTTTGTTCGAGCGTGCCATCCCAGTTGCGGAGATGAAGTTGTTGACTCTGGTGACACGGGAGATACTACTTCTGATGCAGGTTGAGGAGCTTGATGAGGAGGTGGAGGTGAGCTTAGGGAGGATGGGATGGAGGATGCGCTAGTTCGCTGGCGCGCATCGAATCTGCCGAGGGGCTGCGGCAACGTCGTCATGTTCGCTGTCAAATGTCTGTCCGTATGGCTGGATGAGATCCAGCTGGAATTTCAGCCCCCCTTGATAGACTGGTCCCACGGGAGAGAGACAAGACACACAACCAGTCTCACACACACACCCAAATCGCCCATGCATGTGCCACCAGGCAACCACAAAAAGCAAGAGCCACGAAAGCTTTCGCGCGGTTGGCGTTCCCTTTAGTCGGTCGAGTCACGGGCCTCTTTTCTCCCTGGAATACAGTAAGCCTCGTGGCTGTGTCGTGAGTCTGCTTTTGCTGCTTGGCCACGCGAAGGAATCCCTTTCTGCAGTCTCCCGAAGGCGGAGTGGCGCGCGGGCGTGGTAGACACGGGATGGCTGATGCGTTTCGATCTCTGTTTTCGTACCAAGAACCGGTTCGTCCAGTCTCCTTCCCGTCAACTATGTTCCGGGGTCCCGGTAGTGTGGGTTTTTGTTGCTCCTCCGTATCCGAACGCTACCGCCGTATAAGGTAGTTGTCGATCGGCGCGTATATCCGTTGCGCAATGGAGACCAAAACCTTACTTTACCAGAAGTTTTTTCTCTTCTCAAAGAATCACTGGCACGATCCATCTGAATTTTCGGGGACCAGTGGAGCATTTGTACACAGGGATGGGCATTTCTGAACCCTCATCAAACCCATGTCGGCCCTCCAGCCCCCCTTTCCCACGCAGTTGGGACCAGCCGCAACATTCTGGGCCATTCTGCTGACACCAATGGTATGGGACGCGCCAATGACACGGCACAACAACTTTTGAGGGGGAAATCTTCCAGGTTTCAACAGTCTGACTGTTGGTCTTCTGCTTGAGGTCGCCATTTGATCGGATTTGCGACCAATAGCATGCCACCGTTGGAGAAGCTGAGCGAAGGATTCAACAGTCCCCGTTCCAGACTCTCTCGGTTGCGATGCAGGATACAGGTGGGTGGGCGGTGTCTGACTCGGCGACACTTGGTCCCCAAGAAGAGCTCAATCCGTTCCGATACTGCTGTATTAGCGGACCTGGGTCCGGAAAGAGTCAGAAGCACCCACAAAGGGTCCTTGGTCGTCCTCTCGATCGTCTATCGTTTGTGAGTGAAGGCTGTTTTTTGTCTTCGACATTATTCGAAAAGTCGATCAAACCAATGTGTCTTGAATGAAACGGACCCATCCTCTGCAGTGACTCGAGCACACCCTCGCATCGCATTTCCGCGCGACGCCCGAAGCCTCTCGCCCCCAAGCTTCATCGAAAGCAGCTTTCATGCTCATAAAGATTGGCATTTTGATATCCCGGACTACAAGTGACTAGAAATTTGTTGTCAATCATCGCCATTTACATGTAGGTAACAATAATAACGGTGCCAGCTCAATATCGTGCCAGGATTCTTTAGTGCAGAACGCCGTCGAAAGACAAACCGCGGCGACCAACATACCCTGGGGCCATCTCCCGTTCTCTGTTGGTCTGTTGGAAGCCCAAGCAGCCCATCCCTTATGAAATGATATCGGTCCACTATAGAGGGTCTGCTGAACCGCGCTTCAATGTTTTCACCACCATCACACGGTCAGCGACCAAGAGATTGGTTGGCCGCATGATATCCCACAGAGATGCGACTGAACAATCAGACAATTCCAGAAGCAAACATGGCGATCCCCGGCTGTAACAAAGATAGGGTTCAGTCCCGGAACGGGTTCGCTCGCCCCCAGCCATTGACGTCGAGAAGAATGGAAGGGCGTTCCCCGCACAAGATAGCGTGCTAGAAGTGTGCTGATAGGTATATCAACATGTGCAAGGGCCGTTCAATCTAGAAGACTTTGCAGCTGTAGATCTGTCGCATCGTCATCGCTTCTTCTGCGTGCACACGCCGCCGACAGAAAGTCGCGCCGCGCTACGCAACAGTGGCCATGTCTCCCCAAGATCAGATCTCCGAATTGCGAGGCACGAACGATACACTCGTTCTACCCTCATTGTACGGCAGCTTTGCGCTCTGTGCTTTAACTCTGCTGTCAATTTGGTATCTCGCGTCGTGGCACCGATTACGACATATCCCAGGTCCTTTCCTTAACTCTCTTTCGATTCTACCTATGCAGCATATGACAAGAGGTGGAAAATTGAGTTTCATGTTGAAAGATCTAGGAGACAAATTTGGTAAGATTCTCAAGCGTGCGTCTTGATTCCGCCCAAGCTTACCATAGGCTCTTTAGGACCGCTAGTCCGCGTTGGCCCAAACGAAGTTTTGTTCGGCGATCCAGACACGTACCGCAAGATATCGGCGGTCAGGTCAGACTTCACCAAAGGTCCTTGGTACGCTCTCGCCAAGGTCGTGCCTGACCAGGATAGCCTGTTTTCGATGAGGGACGATGATCTAAGAAAGGAGTACAGAACCAAGCTGAGTCCTGGTGTATGTAGAAACGTACAACTCGCTAAGTAACATTGAAGCTGACTTCAACTAGTACGCCGGTAGAGAGAATGGCGGCTTTGAGCCTGGTGTTGACAGAATCGTCGCACATTTCGTCAACCTAGTTGAAACTAAATACATCTCGACGCCGAAGGAATATCGACCCATAGAGTTCTCCCATAAATCTCAATACTTTGCCCTCGACGTCGTCAGCGAGCTTTCTTTCGGAGAAGCGCTAGGATTCCTCGCAAATGATGAGGATTTGTTTGGTTATGTGGCAACCAATGACCTCATCTTTCCGTATCTTGCTGTCATGCTCAATGTACCATGGGTCGGAATTTTCTTGCAGCAATGGCCGTTAAACAAGCTTCTACCCTTTTCCAGCGACGAGTTTGGCTTTGGTAAACTTATGGGGTAAGTCAAGAGACTTTACCCTGGCTCTGGATGCGCTGTCTTCAAGCCATCAAGTGTCGACTAACTTGTGGCAGAATGGCCAAGAACCTGGCGGACAAGAAGTTGGCAGCCGCGTCGGATGAGAACAACATGGTCCAACAACACCTTCGCAACGGGGTAACTTACAAAGAGCTCTTGGCAGAGATCTTCCTGGAACTGTAAGCTTGGGTCTCAACGCAGCCTAAACACCTTGAGGTAAACTGACAACCGGATAAAGAATCGCGGGCTCCGACTCTACCGCAACGGCAGTCCGCATGACTATGCTCTGTCTGCTCAACACGCCGTCATCGCTAAATGCACTACGCCGCGAGATTGACCAAGGCATTGCCCAAGGCCGCATTAGTTCTCCGATCCGCGACTCCGAGGCCCGCCAACTAGCTTACTTGCAGGCCGTGATCAGAGAAGGCATACGCATGTACCCACCGTCAACGGGCCTCAACTATAAGCAAGTAGCCAAGGGAGGAACAGAGCTGCATGGGCAGTTCTTGCCAGAGGGGACGCAGATGGGTATCAACATTCAAAAGTTGATGAGATCCAAGGACACATTTGGTTGCGACGCGGATGTGTTTCGGCCAGAGCGCTGGCTGGAAGCTGCCGCTGAAGATGAAGACTGCTTTCGAGACATGTGTGGTGTCGTCGACCTGGCGTTCGGACATGGTCGGTTTCAGTGTCTTGGGAAGACTATCGCGGCTATGGAGTTGAACAAGATCTTCATTGAGGTGAGTTGGCGTCACCTTTGAATCCTCAATGTCTGACTTGAAGCGAGAAAGACTAATCGTGATCATGTCAAGCTATTCCGAAGGTTCGATTTCGCGGTGGTGACTCCTCAGGAGCCTCTCAAGCTCTATGATGCTGCTTTCTGGGTCACAACCAATTTCTGGTTACGAGTAGTACCGAGGCCGAGCGAATCTTCCTGATCTGACGTCAAATGCTTTCTAGAGGTTGTCACGGTTTTAAGATATCTCGCTAGCATGCAATCGCGACGCCCAAGATACCCATGTGCCCTTTGTCACTGGAAATATTGCACAAGAGTTGCTGGGGAAGGATAAATTCTGGATCAAACAACTGAGTGTTTAGATGCCGGAATCTCATAGAAAGCCAGCTGAGGAGCGCGTACTCTACAGTATCGCAGAATAATCATTCGTGAAATAAGGTAACAGCCGTCGCTGTTTGTGCTGATGGACCTCATACGAGACTACATGTACTCTTCTTTGCTCCAAGACTCGGCGGTGAGAAGCTTGACGCTATACCCCAATATTTACACTTTCCCCTCACAAATCCCTGAGCATCATCCATGGCACCGGAACAGAGTTTGGCGGCAATCCCGATGCATCCGCTGCCCTTATCGTCTCAATCCCTGAAGGCTCATTCGGGCACGGTAAGATTATCGATACTAACATGGGTCCTGGCGGGAAACGTTCAGCGGTAACATTCTTGGCCAAGCTGCCAGAGTTCAACATGCGTCAGTCCGAGCATTGTACATAGAAAGTCTGGTTCGTGCGATTCAGTCTTCCATGGTATGTGCTCAAGCCAATAGTTCATCTGACATTCGTCATGTCAATGGCCGTAGTCAGAAACCCAATTCAGAACTTCGGGCCGCACCTGATAGGCCTCTCTCAAGCTCAAAAGTCCCCTTGGCAAAGACACTCGTTATCAGTGCAAAGAGAGAGATGGTGTCACTCACGGCACGCAATGGATCCTTCCAAAGGTACCTGAGAAGCCTCAGCGGGATCGGCTTCGGTGTCGTCTTCGGTGACATACGTGACTAGAGCACCCAAGCGCGCTCCCCTCAGAGCAGGGGGAAAGAGAGCTGTCATTGCGGGGAATATCCATCAACATTTGTTCCCCATGCCGCCCCACGCCAACACTCCAGTCATGTCAACGCGGCATGCCTCCTTGTGTGCCATCAGCTTATCCACGGCGAACAAAGCTACCCCGCCGGCATTGCTTGGCATACATCGAATTCTAGCACGAACAAGGCAGGTCGCTCACGTTCCCAAGCAGCTAAGCTCTCTCTTCCACGCCGTCTTACTGCTTGCCGTCGCATCATCGCGTGGATTGGGGTAGACAAAGCTCGAAGTTACCATGTCTCCCCCAGGAATCGGGTCAGCTTCTCCCCAAAGTACCGGGTCTTTGGAGAAAGATATGACGACGTGCGTTCTTACTGCCTTGCCCGCAGACAGCAGGTTCTTCCCAGCCTGCATATCGCCAATACCATCAGAGCAGGGCGAACAGCTCCAGAATGCCAAGCATTATTGCGGGAAAGTCTTGTTTAATGGTATCACCGGCCTTACCGATGACTGATGATTGCTGGGCATATTTTCTGCGATTTCATTGTGGACGGGCTGTCTGCGGGCGAGAGCTATAACTGCGCCTTCCCGTCACCCCTCCCAGAAGCCGAAATTCGGCAGAGACCTTCTTGTTCTCAACATTTCAATACACAATTGAGCTAGATCTATGCCCATTACTCGATAGGATTTTGCCCATCATGCGTTGCAGTCAAGTCTCACTCGCCTTGACCTACGCGGCTCTCGCCTCGGCCTGCCAACGGGACTTCTTTGTCGAGAAGCGGCACACCCACCGCAAGCCCATCACGAAGCGCGCCGACGACGTGTGGCCTCCAGTGCTTACAGAGGAGGAGACTATCTTGGTCAATGCCTTTGACAATGTCACAGTCGACGAGTGGTCAGACTACTACGGTCACCAGGTCAAGCTTGCGGGACTCGGAAAGGAAGCGGCGCAGTGGACGGCAGATCGGTGGACAGAGAACGGTTTCAATGCGCAACTTAAGGAGTACCACGTCTACCTAAGCTATCCTGTTCATGCTTCACTGGATATTTCCTACCCCAATGGCACGACAAACAATGTCAGACTCGATGAGGATGTTCTGGAGGAAGACGATGTGACGGGGAGGGAGGACAGACAGCCAACTTTCCACGGTTACTCTGCGTCAGGAAACGTGACTGGTGAATATGTCTACGTTGGGTGAGTGTTCCGCTGCCATACCATGTGTGTTGGGCCATGCTCATTATTCATGAAGACGCGGTTCCCAGGCAGACTTTGATCGCCTCGTTGAATTGGGAGTCGAGCTCGAAGGCAAGATCGCACTGGCCAGATACGGCGGGCTCTTCCGTGGCTTGAAGGTCAAGAATGCGCAAGATCACGGCATGATCGGCGCAGTTATTTTCACCGATCCCGGCGATGACGGAAACCAGACCGTTGCGAACGGTTACGAGGCGTATCCCCGTAAGTCTCCCGTTCCGTCGAATCAGTACCTTAAAGCAGTGTGATAACCGTATAATGTGCAGACGGGCCTGCCAGAAATCCTAGTGCCGTCCAGAAAGGCTCCGTTCTGTTCCTCTCCACTCACCCGGGCGACCCAACCACCCCAGGCTACCCATCCCACGAGGGCGTCGAACGCGCAGACATTTCACCCGTCACGCCCAAAATTCCTTCCATACCAATCTCCTACGCATCTGCCGAGCCTCTGCTGCAGGCTCTTGATGGTTTCGGCGTGTCCGCAGAGGAAGTCAACCGGACTATCTGGGCGGGTGCGTTGAACGCCAACTACAGTTCAGGGCCAGCCCCGGGAGTCACCCTGCACCTGGACAACTTGATGGAAGGGAAGATCACGCCTATTTGGAACGTCATTGGCCAAATCAACGGCACTAACGCCGACGAGACGATTGTCATTGGGAACCATCGCGACACCTGGATGATCGGAGGCAACGGAGACCCCAACTCTGGATCCGCCATCTTGGTTGAGTTCACGAAAGCTGTCAACGTTCTTGTATCTAAGGGCTGGAAGCCCAAGAGGAACATGTAAGTTATTGACCCTCTAGCCGACGGGATGAATACAGACTCTGACTCTTTAGCGTGATCGCGTCCTGGGACGCCGAGGAGTACGGCCTCGTCGGCAGCACTGAATGGGTCGAGGATCATGTCGACTGGCTTACCGAGACAGCCGTGGCGTATCTGAATATTGATGTGGCAGTATCAGGCCCAAGGCCTGCCCTTGCGACCACACCTGAGCTGCAGACCGTCGGCACTGAAATCTTCAAGAAGATCATCTATCCTAACTTTGGCGGCTTCAACATCAGCCTCTACGACGCTTGGCTGGAGTCCTCTGAAGGAATAGTTGAGTCGTTGGGCAGCGGTAGTGACTTTACAGGCTTCTTGCACCGGGGCATCAACTCGGTGAGTACTTACTGAGGGCCAAGAGGCCGCTCTAGACCGCTTCAAGGTAACAACAGCTGACTTTTCCAAGCTCGACGTTGGTTCCAACAATGGCGCGACCGATCCAATTTGGCACTACCACTCCAATTACGACACCTACCACTGGATGGCCAACTTCGGCGACCCAGGCTTCCTCGTCCACGCCGCCATTGGCCAGTACCTCACGCTCCTCGCCTACCATCTCGCCGACGACGAGGTCCTCCCCATTGACGTGCCAAACTACGCCACCGAGCTTCGCGCATACCTCTCTGATCTGGAAGAGTACGCTGAATCCGAGGGCGCCGAGATCGATCTCTCCGAACTCTCCGACGCCATCGAGGTCTTTGCGACGCGGGCCGATGAGGTCAAGGCTTTGGAGCAGCTCGCTGTCACAACGGGCGACGCGGATCTGATCACCGTTGTGAACCACAAGTACCGTGACTTCCAGCGGGGATTCATCAGCCAGGGTGGTTTGCCTGATCGGGAGTTCTACAAGCACGTCATCACTGCTCCGGGCCTGGACACCGGATATGCTGCTGTTCTGTTCCCTGGCATCACTGAAGGCATCCAGTACGGCAAGGGTAACCTCACCGTCGCCGAGGAGTGGGTTTCAAAGACTGCTCGAGGCATCCTGCGGGCTGCCGATATTATCAAAACGTAATGTCTCGACGGACACCCGGTGGGTCTCACCGTCTCCGGGCTCACGGCGCAGATCGGGCCCCGTTCTCCTGGCCTTTCTCCGACTTGCATATGACATGACGAAATGAAGTCTTAGCTAGAAGAATAATAATTAATCGTAAATCACTTCATTGGGCATAGTCTATACATGTAGAGTTTGATGGTAAGTTCTATTATTGAGATAGCCCTAATATTGAGGCTCGTGTGTGCATCATTCAAGATCTCCGTGTCAGAGTCGTAAGCACTATGTCACGGCTGTAATTCCTCAAGCCTGATGGTCATCAAATGTCATTCATTGAATCTCGAAACAGCCTAAACTCCAACCCGTCCTTTCCGAATTGATGAAACCGTGTAATCATTCCAACAACACACCCCTACTAAAAGGGTTCTGTTGGATTCCCTAAGAAGCCTGGCCTCCAGGTCGCCGCTTCTCGATGTTAAGAACAATGTCAATGAAGCTGCGCTTGAGTGGACTCTTCTTCCTAGCAGCCAGCAATTGCGCAGTCTTGAGGATGTTCTTGATCTGCCGGCCATTGAGCTTCAGTTCAGACAACTCGACGATATCCTCATCAGAAACCTCGCTCTTGAGCGTCGCCCCCTGCAAGAAGTTGCGCCAGATCTGGCGACGCGATTCTGGAGTGAGATCAGGGTACTCTAGCGAAACATGAATGCGCGACTGGAACGCCAGGTCGATGTTGTCGACGCGGTTGGTCGTCATGAAGAGAATACCCTCGTAGTACTCGAGCGTTCTCAGGAAAATGGAGACGACCTTGTTGCGCTCCAGGTCGTGCGTAGAGCGTGCCTCGAGGAAGACGTCGCACTCGTCCAGGAGCAGGATCGCGTTCCATCGCGCCACGAGCTCGAGGATACGCGAGAGGCCATGCTCCACCTCCCATGGCTGCGAGCCCAGATCGCCCGAGCTGAGGGTATGCAACGGGACGCGGAGGTTCTCGGCGACAGCCTCTGCTGTCAGGGTCTTGCCGACACCAGGCGGACCCGAAAGAAGGCAGATGATGCCTTTACCCTTGCCGGAAATGACATCGTCAAAAGTAGACCCATCAAGTTGCGACTCGGAGAAGGCGAGAATCAGTTCCTTCTGATCCTCGGGTAGGACGAGCTTATCAAAGGCGTTTGTGTTCCAGGTAATTTCGGTGACTTGCTCAACGAAGAAGTCGAGCCACTTCTTCAGCTTGAGCGAGTAACCCCTCGTCCGCGACCGCGCCAGCATCTGGTGGTAGGGAGTCAGCTTGAGGTTGCCGTCCTTGCCCAGTCCATGCTGACGCTTCCATGCCGAAAGTGCTTCCATGTCCTTTGCGTTCCAGTCGTCAACGTAGCGGTTGCGGTAGGGGCTGAAGCGGTTGAATGAGTTGATATCAACGACGATGCGGCCTTCGACCTGGACGGGCACCTCGTTGCCCTCGCTGTCCCAGGTGATGGCAGTGCCTGAGTACTGCTTGTAGTTGTGACCAGCCAGCTCCTCGAAGATCTTGCCGCGCTGGATAAGGCTGGTGCGCAGCTTCTCCTTTTGGGCGTGGAATGCCCAAGGGTAGGCATTGAGGCCGGTGATCTTCTTGGTGCCGAGGAATTCGGAGATGTTGATGCGCTCACCGTAGCGGCCGAACTCCTTGCCGCCGTAGTCAACACAGTCGGCGCGCAGCTGGAGGAACTTTCCGCAGTTATTCTCCATATACTCGGTCTCCTCGAGCTCAAAGGCAGATAGAGGGCCCTTGTGAGCCGAGAGGATGATGGCATCGGGCTGGAAGATCATCCACAGATGCTCGAATGTGATAACGCCCTTTGCAACGTAATCCTCGAATGCCTTGATGGTGTTACCAATTTCGTACTGGAGGATGTCGTGCAGGATAGTGAGATGCTCCTTGGTGTGTGCATCCAGGTCCTTCTTGCCCATGTACTTGCGAAATTCCGTCCAGCGATGCACAAAGGGGCGGAAGGGAGCGTCGAACTCGAGGCGTTCTAGCTCGCAAGCGACGCCAGTGTAGCCATCCAGGATCACACCCAAGGCCTTCTTCAACCAAGGGCTCTGGATGACGATGGAGTCGGCCTCAAGCTTCTTCCGGCTATCGTTGCTCTTGATATTGCGCACCACGACGGCGTACTGCTCAGTCTCCTCGTTCTCGGCGGCTTCCTGCACGTCTTCCGGGTACTTGTCTACCCATGTCCAGTTGCCGTCGCTGTCTTTGGCGGACTTGTAGATATTCTTGGTAGAGGCAATTGAGCCGAAGGGAGCCAGAGGCTTTTTGGGCTTCTCCTCCTCGTCCTCTTTCTTCTCCTCGCTATTGGTCTCTGCTGACGTCTCGTCTTCCTCAATGGTCTCACCGTTTGTGGTTTCGCCGTTTGACTCTTTGCCATTTGTAGTCGACGTGCCATTCGTCTTGTCTGAGGCTGGGGTCTTGGTCTCCTTGGCCGATTCGTCGACCATCTTAAGGCCGAGGGCCGCCGCTGCCGCTGCTGTTGTGCGTGCCATTGTGAATACTCTATTGTTAAGATACAACGGGAGAAAGAGATACTGATGAATTCAATTTTAATCACGTTTTGAGGTTGGTCTTCCGCACATATTTATCTCCATTGCGACACCTTCAGAATGTTACGCGTGCAAAGTGTAAGAAGTCTTTCTTTTGCCATTTCGTCAAACCTGACAGCAAAGCACCAGGCACCACGGCATCGTGCTCTAGTGGCTGCCTCAACAGGGGTCGAATCGGTTGATGCCTTTGATGCGCATGGCATGTGGCAGTGACTCACCCCTGTTCACGGCCCATGGGCTGCCGACTGCGAAACGCAGACGTCTCTGTATGGAACAGAGAGCATGTTGCTGCCTACAATGGGCGGTCCGCCCTAGAAGCGTTGATCGAACGAAGAGGCCAATTTTTGCGGGAGATGTAAGCACTAGAGCGAGATGGGATCCCGCATTTGCAAGGCAGAAGAGCCGCCATGGCACAAAGTTTGTTGTCAGGATTCAGGCCGCCACAACTGGCCGTCTTGCTCATTCGCCGATCTGTGGCAAACAAAATGTTTTTGGTGAATAGACGGTTAACGGTGTTTCAATATGCAAAAAGGTTGAGCTTCTACCCAAAAGTCAGAACAACGGTGAGGTGATTCAGTCAACGTACAGAGGCCTCACGAAGGATTCTAGAACAGACCTAGACAACGCTAAAGTCGCGTCAACTCCTGCAGGCAGACGAGCACTGCCTACAGCCCCGATTCTTTCGAGCATTTCTGTTCGCTTCAAGCGAGACGGAGACGGGAAGCACCGATCGCTTGTTCAACCCCTGAAAGGGCTGAGCATCATAGCGTTACAGCGCCACATAAGCAAACAGAATAGCGGGGGAACGAGGCCACTGATAGGGCTAGGATTATTGATTAAGACACGTGTATCCGTAACGCGTCCAGTGTTTCCTGTAAGCCTTGCTTGTATCCTGTTCCAGCCACGGCTCTCACATGTGGTGAATAGTGCTGCTAACTTTGAGGCTCGCAACAAACAAGCTACGTTATTGCGCATTGTCTTCCAATGATACTATATTGAATTCAGTCTGCTTCAGCTGTCCCCGTGTATGTACAATTTTCAACTGAGAAAGAGAAACAAAGCCCAAACACAAGCTATAAGTACTGTAAGTATGTACAGAGAACTCAAAACGCTAACCGCTAGCACTTTACTGACCGATCCCAGGCTCCTCAGTTCCTCACGCAGAACCTCCTTGATTCTACTTCCAGCTAGTACTGGCCGTGACCGCAGTAGAACAGCTTTGAGGCACAGTGTAGGATCTATTCGGATCGCTCTCCCATGTCGCGATCCCATCCGACGCCACATTGATGAACTTGTACTCGAAAGTCGTCCCGGCCGGCAGCGAGACAGTGTAGGTCCACAAGTTATTCGAGCTGGTGTACTGCGCCGCCGAAAGCGCCGGGGCCGATGCCACATTCCAGTTGCCGAGTGCAGCAATGGAACCCGCGACCTTGATTGTCTGGCCTGGAACCGTTTTCACAATTTCATTGAAAGTAACAGCCACAGTACTGGCGATCGCGCAAGTGCCGCTCGTAGCTGTCGCCGCGGCGCTGGTCGTGCGTGTCGAGGACGGCGAAGTGCTTCCCCCACCGCCAATGGCGATGTCGGCGCACGTGAGGTAGACCTGGCCGGTCTGGAACGAGTTCCAGCGCAGCGACAGCAGAGTGTGGTTGGCGACATAGTCGGGAATCTTGATCTTCTTGGTGACTGTGTAGCCGCCGGCGATAGAGGTGTAGCAAGACCCCAGCGCGTTATTGTCGACGCCCTGGCACCCGCGTCGGCTGCTCGCCTGGAACGCGTTGCAGGTGAACCAGTCGTTCCGCCAGCACGCCTGACCGGAGGTGCAATCTGGGCTGTAGTCGCAGCTCTGGCCTGAGACATCGGTGCACTTGAGGGTGCCGGCCTGGAAGCAGTTCTCGGCGGCCTGCTTCTCGTCGTCGGTGGGGAGGTATCCGGGTGTGATGAACTTGTCGACGATGGACTGGTCTTGGCAGATGCGGTAGCTGAACATGCCGCCGTGGTCGCCATTGTTGTCGACGCACCACTGGACATCGACGGTCTGGCCACGAGTGTAGGTCGCGACTACATTGCTGCCCCAGTTGCTTCCGGGCTGGTTATAGTCGACGCTGACGCGAGCATTGTAGCCGCAGGGACCGCTTCGTCCGACGGTGGCGGCCGTGAGGTCCGGCCAAGCCGAGACGGGCTCCCGGATAGTGCACTCGGGGCAGGAATCTATGCCGGCCTGCCGATGGTCCGTTAGCTCAATGCCGGAGCAGTCTTCGATACTACTTTTGGGTTCTTACCTCATGCCCGAGACGAGTGCGGCTAGACGGGATCGTCAGATATCCATGTCCATAAACAGAGGAGATGAAGGTGGCAACTGCCAAGGTCGTGGATGACTTCATGTTGAATGGCTTGCAGGCGTCCTGTGAGAGGTTTGAACGTTCAAGATATCAACTTACAGCTACTTCCAGAAGGGATGCTCTATGTCTCTCACAACATCAGTCTGAGAGGAGTCATCTTGGCTTTATATGCCAAATTTCACATTTGGTATCCCACATCGTCGCAGCTCATAGCATACTCACATGCTTCTATAATGCTACTAGACATCTCACGATCCAACTTGCCCTTGCTGCTCCCACCGGCACACATCACATCAAGCAACGCCGAAGTACCTCCAACCGAGACGGCCCTACCCGTAAACGTTTCCCCGGACCTAAACTCGACCTGGAAGTCCGGGGCATCTCCAAAATATTATGCAGGCGATGGCGGGGTAGCAAAGTTCTGTTAGTGTCGGCTGTCATATCTCCAACTGGCAACCACCGCGGGGTGAGTAGGCCTGCTGTGTGGCTAGCCACAGAAACGCCTACCTGCAATGGTTCACCTATGTAGACTTTGCATGCGCCCAACCCCACGGTCCCTGATGTAGCACATGCAGCACAAGAGAGTTCCTGGTCTTAGCATGGTCGATGACACCCTACGCCCACGTTCAAGGCGGAGTTGTGCGGAGTCTTGAGGAGTTGAGGTAGCATTCCGCCCTATACATCAGATGATGGGTCACGACGACCTCAAAATTGAATAGAAGGCCCGAAGCTGGAGGTCCTTCTCAGATCATGGCATGCACTCTGGTAAATTTCAAGCTCTATCGCTGTCACATATACTGCCGAAAAACGCCCGGCTCCTGCATACAGGTCATCGATCGCAGGCCAACTCATCTTACTATTGGTGGCTTAATCAGGTAATACTTCTATGCTTGTGAGGAGTCGTGTTCTGCAAACATGTTTCCTGTCTGTTCCTGAATGATCAATCAGGTTCCTGTTAGTGTCGTAATTCTTGCATCGCATAGCTTTGCATAGCTTTGGACGTTCTGGAAATAGGGCCATGCTGGTTCTGCTTCACCACATACGATTTGAAAGCACATGCACTTCAATAACACCGGAGTTTCAACTGCGTTAGTTTATTTCGACCGTCAATAGCACACATAATTCGGACTGATAGCGTCGCTATCATACATATAGTGATGGGAGTAGCTATCAACATCTCATATGATGGCTAACATCGGTTAGGTAGTTTTGAATAATTGCAATATCCCCTGGGCCCAGTATGAAATTACTTGCTCGCTGGACACTTGGGCCTCGTTTACGGACGTAAGTGGCATCATGAGCGAAATTGTTAGTGTTCAATTCTTCTGAAGGAGATCAAGTCATTAAATGTATTGAGCCTCCTCAAGCAATTCGATGTATTTTGTTGTTCCGGTTCTAATCATAGTTCCTATTACGCTCATGTGTAACTTTATTATTCCACAACTCCTGCTCGTATCTGTCTAGTACGAAGTATAGGTCAAGCCCTCCATTTCACGTCATCTACCCCGCCTATACCTCTAGCTTTTATAACGGACCGACTTCATGGTGGTGGTGTTGACGCATGAGATGCCATTGAGAAGTTGGTGTTGTGGCGGACCGATAGTCAATGTAGACAATAATGTATGTTGATAACTATGCTTCATCTGCTTGAAGCCACTGACGGGTCTTTTAACTCCGATGGTATTCGTCCAGAGCCTTGTGATAAACGCTTTCGGGACTATTTAGGCATCCCGGAATTGCGTCTAGACTCTCAACAGGAAGGCACCGGCATCTCTAGCAATACCACTGAGCGGTATAACTACTCTCGACGTATCTTACCTTTACCAATATCCGGATGTACTTTTGTAAAGATTATGTCGGGTTACAAGGACCTCTTCCGTCGCTGTGCCTGTCTCAAGCTCTTCGTGCCGTTTGTGGACTTCGGCACTTGTCAATGCTGCCTGCATGATGCACTGGTAGTCACCATGGGCTGCCAAGCTCGTCAAAAGGATCACTGCCGGTGCTGTTCTTTCTTTGCGAGGCGCATAAATGCTCCTGTAGTATTTGCCATTTTTTGCCACGTGCCAGGATGCGTTCAAGAGCCACATCGATCCAAGCTTGCATCCCTTCTTGGGAGGCGTGTCTTGTGTTCAGCAAGGCCCCGAAGCCTGATACTTGTTTTCCTCTACACCTCAACCTCATGGAAAACGTCGCCCTGTCCCCTAAGTTTCAAACATTATCATTAGATGAAGTCGAAGTTATCACTATGGCCCTTTTCGACTGCAAATTGTTCAAATCTCACCCCTAGAATCTAGTACTTTGAGTATCTTACAAACAATAGATGAGAAAGTACCCACCCACCTCTAGCAAAGCCGCGGGTAAAAGTCGCGAATACTCCATGTTGTATGAAACGCTACGTCATGCGATGCATCAATTTGCGCTTTAATATAGATCACTTGGCGACGGCGTCTCTCATCGCGAAAGTCCCAATCTTCATAACAAACCTAATTACGGGAAGGGAGAATCATCAATCTAGTTGGCTTTCAGCACAGACACGTATGCGGTATCTACATATTGACTGTTCTGCCGAGGAGCGAGACCGCGGCTTGAACGCAGCTTAGA